CACTTGAATTAAATTAAATCGAACGATTGTTTATTGTATGTATGAATTTTACTTGGAATTTTATTTTTGTCCGTGTTATAACCTTAAAGCAGATTCTGACAGCCAGGTGACATTCTCCGTCAGTTTTAATTCTAATACTTGCCACTTGGAGCTCCACTTGACGAACTTTTTTTTCAAGGTCAGGATTTATTTTTCTTATGGGCTAGTATAGGAGCGTTATGGCCGTATCGGAACGAAGTGGAGATAGATACAGTTGGCCGTGGTATAAGTTTTTTACAGTTATTTAGTAAAATTACAAAAAATTTGTCAATAAATGTCACAAATAACATTGAACAAAGTTACAATTTAGGATACAGCTTTCTTCTTTCCTCTTCTAATAGGCTATAGCAAAAAAACTTGGAAAATTATTTTTCCAACAGAAATAAATAGAGTCAAAGTGTAAAATTTGAACTCTCATAACTTCGAAATTGTCATAGATAATTTTTTTTTAACATTTTTTCCATGTTTCTGGTATCTTACCTTATATGTCATTTTTCTCTGGGGCGCGAGTTCTGGCGCACCTTGTATATCTAAATAAATAATTTAGTGAAATGCTCTTCTACTTAAAAAAATCATCTATAATTCTCCTATAATTTTAGTTCAATTAGAAAGTGTTTTTTTCTGTTGTAGGTAACTGACGACAAAATTGAATTTTGGGCTTTTTTAGTTACAATTTTGAGGTTGCTTTATTAATTTTGCCGCCTTTTTAAAATCAAAATGGCGGAATCGGCGAAATTTCAAAGCTGGCTAAGCCAACTCTAATCAGTTTTTCACAACTTTATTAATTTTTTTTAGAAAAAAGTTTAAAGCTATAAATGAACATTTTTGCCTTTTTTACGTACTCAGATGCAACTGTCATGGCTCACTATAAAATGTTTATTTTTCCTGGCCCATTTTTCAGTATTAGCAATCAAGAGTGTGACATTTACGCCGTCGTATGTTTCCCATATCCCGTCACCACGGCCATAATTCAAATTTATTGCATCGATTTCACCTGTTTTGTTACATTTTTTATCGTCGGCAGCCTCCATGTGTACCAACAGGACTAAAACAAACTTTATTATCAGTATTATCACTTTCCCAGCTAATAGAAATTACTCGTTTGACAAAGGAAACGATTATTCGCCCAGGCTCTTATCTAATTCTATCCGAAAATGACTTCGACCTTATGCAATTACATTCTTGTCTTTCGACTAGGGGGACTTCGACTCAATTTCACCTGGCAAGGTCATCCATCATCGACCTCGCTGTTCCCATTAACTTTCCAAATAAATCACCGGGGATTTCAGTATGGCCGACGAATCATTTTAGATCGGGACCTTTTCAAATATTTAAGAGATTTGAATCGGTTAACGATTTCTCGACACCCCGAAGACTATCGAAATACAAAAATATTCCGAAATCCATTCTCAATAAACTCTCCCACATCTCATGAATTATTGAATAACTCGGATATGCTCGGACAGCTGAAATATGCCACCGAGGTTTGAAACTCTAAATATGCGAAATTTAATACGGATGAACACAGATTTTTATTTTTTTCGACGCTGCAATCCGATATATGAGCTTGAGACGCCCACCCGAGGGGAGGATATTCGATAAACTCACGTTACAGTGCCTCACATATCGCCCGAAAAATAATATAGGGAAAAGAGAGGGCCCGAAGTGGAGCCTTGCGGCAATAAACATTTTTACGCAATGTTAAACAATAAAAATTACGGAGTTGTAATTTTCGGTTTTTAAAAATTTGCGCTACGTATAATTTGGACATTTTAAATACATACAGGGTGAGTCGTTAAAGCGGCTTTGAAGTTTGTAGGTGCTATGTTTATTATTGAATATCTAAATAATTATTTTTTTGACTACCTACGTAAGAAGTTAAAGTAGAATTTTGCACATGAGAAAAAAGGCTGTGCTCTATCGTTTATATAACATTTGAGGCGTTTCTGTTATACAGTGTGCTAACTAAAACTGATCAAATAACCTCCTATGTACAGGTGTTTCAGAATTTGCGCTTCTGAGAAAAATGTCAAGTAAGACAAGATACCACGAACATGGAAAAATATTTAAAAAATCTATCTACAGTGTATTCCCGGATAGGTGAAATTTTCATTTTTTGAGGTTTTCAGCCCTACTTCGTTAAAGATTAATTTTTAACATAAATTTAATTATGAAAAATCAAGTACGCTTTGGAAATTTTCAAAAAAAACTATTTTTTTATAACTATGATTTTTCGGTTTTTT